TTGGTTGCAATTTAATAAAATGAAACGGCGCGGAATTTAAATAGACAAGTAATTTAAACTGTTTAAATTAAAATGTTCTGTCAGGAACTGATTCAATTGCGATACCGGCTAACTTTACTGTGGTTTTCAATATAAACAAATATACAGAATGCAAAAGCTGAAAATTTGATAATATAATTTCCGCTATAGGGACCAAAATGAAACATCAAATTATATCTCAGCCTCTACATAATCTAAATAATAACAATATTTCAACAATAATATAATGAAAAACAACAATTAGATTATTGTTTTGATGTATTCGGTCAAATTTCAAGGCTACAGAAAATGTAAATTGTATAAAACTAGCTTTAAATTAATATTGTTTCTTCATATAACCTTTTAACTCCCAATTCATCCTTACAACGTTTTAATTTTATGTACCTAATAGATTTTAAATACAAACGTAGCAACAACATTTCGTCCTTAAGGGTTGATTTTTTAAAAATTGCCAAAACACGTATTTGTTTAATTTCAACAATGAGCAACCTTCGAGCAAATCCGAGTACAAATAAAATATACCCCATGGAAACATTGTAAGCTCTTTTCATTTAATTAATAGTATCAAACAGCATATATAGTAAGTTTCAAGTAAATTCAACCACAAATTAAATATGTCCCAAACAAAAATTGCAACAGCTTTTTATCCCTCCCCTCCCTTTGGAGGTTGACTTTTTTAAAATGTCGAGATAGGTCTTTCAGAAATTAAATGAAAGACCATTAAGACACCAAGTTTCAAGTAAATCTGCCCACAAATAATATATGTTCCATTTAAACATTGCAACTCCTCTTCACCGTTCATCCCACCCTCAACAGAGATTGATTTTTTAACCAGTTTCAAGTAAATCGAACCAAAAACAAACATGCAATCTTTGCTAATCCCTTTCAGCTTCCTAAAGAGGTAGAATTTTGTAAAATGTTGAAATAGGTATCTATGTCACTAATTTTATATGAAAAAGCATTAAAGCCAAGTTTCAGGTAAATAAAACACCATACTTAACCATAAATATTACGTTTAGATGTCAGTTGCGTTTTGTTATACCAACGAACGCCTAGACTGATGATTTGATTTATAATTTTTTCGTTTTGCTGTCATTTTCGTTTTGTCATTCCATGTCACTTGCGTTCACATATAACACGTTTTTGCCGTGGAACGTAATAAAAAGTATCCTATGTCTTTTTCCCGGTTGTAAGCTACCTCCTCTCCAATTTTCAGCCAAATCGGTTCAGCCGTTCTTGAGTTATAAATAGTGTAACTAACACGACTTTCTTTTATATATATAGATATAGATGCTTGCAGTTATTATCAAATATAGTTGTAGGTATATTAAACTTCAAATATCTGTATCAATAAAAAACGATAAATGTGGATATACAAATAAGCGCCTCACTGTGTTGTTTGTCCATAAAATTGAGAAACAGTAAGTACTTTGTAACTAATTTTAAGTGTATTCAGTGTTCAAGTTCTAACGACGTTGTCCTTGTACTACTAAACAGGTACACAAGTGCTTTATCAGGAAACGAAGTTTTAATACTTCAGTAAATTATGACTCACCTTGGGAGTTGTAGTTTCCTAATTGCGCCTGAAGGATGTTTACACCTGGGACGACTATTGCAGGAAGCGTCCTTGAACGCAGCAGCGGGGGCGGCTTCTTGCTGGCGGCGCCAGTTTCTAGCCCTGCACATGACGCTCTTTGATCTATCCTAATGTTATTGACGGTCAAATGGGAACTGTAACGAAATAGATAAAATCAGTAGTAATAACTCTGAAAGGCACGCTTTTAGGAGATTAAGAAGAATAAGGTCAGGTGGCGCTATTGAACGGTAATAAACTTTAATGAGCCTTGATGGGGTCATAAATCAGAAAAAAACATCCAACGTAACACTTTTTTCAATCCAATTTATTAATGTATGGAAGTTATAAAATAACGTAGTTATGCAAAGTATAAAAGAATGTCGATTAATATATATTGGATAGTATCTTAATCCTTAAAAATTTTTGTGTAATAACAATATTTTTTGATATGTTACACAATATCGGTACCCAAACAATAGATAGTTACAATAGATTGCTATTAATTACAGTATGTCAACAGCAGCTACTTTGATTTTATATTACATCTTTTTTGTAGGTCGAGTCGCCTTCAATAAATAGAAGTCATTTCTGTGCTAGCGAACGATTAATTTAGATATTCGAAAAAGGTTGTTAAAGGTGTATGTTTGGAGCACGGCGCTGTACGGGTGCGAAACATGAACGGTGGTGTTACAGGTAAATTATGACGATGCCGCAGATAGAGAAAGTTAGAAATGACTAGGAGAACAGAGGACTCTATGGAAGTCAATAAGAAATAGGTGAGATATGTTGGTAGGACACCTTCTCAGGAATGAAGAGCTAGTCAGAGATATGTTAGAGGCAGAAACAGGAGTAAAGAAGAGTAGAGGCAGACATCAATAAGATATAAGATGAATACCAAAAAAATGGTCGTCGCCAGAATAAAAATTCATCAAACAAGTTTTGCTAGTAGTGTATCCTAAGGTCGCAGGGAAAAATTATCTAAAAAACAGGATAAATGCGAGTCATATGGACCGAGGGTTCCCTACATCGGGAGTTCCGTACAAACTTTCTAAATAATTTGTCCGAATTCGAATCTCGATGATTTTGTCCCTTTTCTTTGAGTATTTTTAAGTTTCCTCCAAAATCAGTCTGTTAAATTTCACAGGCAGATATAATCGGGAACTTACTATTGTAAGTGGAATATCAGCACACGCGTTAAATTAATAAGGCGTGTTGTTTAATTCTTTGGTGAAAGGTTGAAAAAAATAGAACTCTTGCAGCGAAGTCAACTTAATTAAAATATATTTACAAATATGTACAGAGTATCTCCAACGATTGATTACTAATGATTGTACAAGTGCTAGTTGCGTTTTTGTGCTGACTTACTTCAAGTGCTTCCTTTGAAGTCTTTGGTCACATCACTTCTTATATCTACAACTTAAAAACTAGGAACAAATGCCAAGGGTGTGGCGAATGTCACCATTGGTGATTAACCCTTTAAAACAACTTTGTGGAAACGTACAAGGCGGGGCTTTCAAACTCAAAAATGTTGAAAGAGGGATACTTACAATCTGAGAAAAGATCGGCTACATCAAGAAATCAACAAACGGTACTTTTAACCGTTAGGCTCATAAAAAAAACACCCCATAATAAAATTGAAACTAAATTGGAATCGTAAAGGATCCTTCTTCAACCGTTACCTCTATAAACTAATTTAAACATTGTACCGATGCATCTAAGGGTCTACTACCAAATAAACACCATACCGCCTTGTAAATTTGCAAACATTCTAAAAACTGAATGCAGGAAGAACTTTATGACCTGCATCAAAAAGGTCGGTCTTGACTCCGAACACAGTCCCTAAAAAGGTTTATTTACAATGCTACAATCAAAAAATACTTTTTTTTTGTGATGTAGCGTTTACGGTTTTCGAATTTTTCCCTTTACTTGTCCCATACGACACTGCATTTTGCCAAATTTCATGACTCTAATATGCCGTGTAAGTTTTAATTCCCTTGCTAGTGTCAAAATATGCGACATAAACAGCCGCATCCTTTGAATGTGTTGACTCAGTAGTTTGATTTTTTCACAGCTCCAAGGGAGTACAGACCTGAGTATTTAATATTAATTTCAACTTATTGATACCTCCACGCGTTCCTGACAGGTAGAAAGACAGAAGACGGACAATGAAGCGATTACATTAGGGTTCCTGTTTGTGTAATAACATTAGTCCTGCATTTCGCAACTGTTTGTGTATCACGCTTCCTTATTAATATCCGGTCTTTGCCGAATGGAAACAAAACATCCATGGCATTTGCAATGCGGCTACTGGAGTGAACCCAGTAATCCATACAATGGTTTTGTATACACCTACTCCTACTCTATTCCGCAGTGGAGTGGATTCAAGCTACTGTTTAAACCGGGATCGTTCCATTTGAATTGTGAGCAGATTAAAATTCAAAAAACAGCATAATCAGCTTAGTATATGCTTTAATACTTGGGTTCAATGATAAACATAACCGTCGATTGGTATAATAATATATGTATAATAGTAAACAAGCATTAACAATAGTCTTGAAATAATATTTCAATAAACATGTAACATTAAAAATAAATTGATTACAAGTTATCGTACTGTTACATTCCGACTGACTTCATTACTGATTTACGCCTTTGAAATAATGGAGTATAAAAATTAGAAAATTATCCAAAATAGGGGTGCAAAATCCTAAAATATCTTTCATCGTCATAACGGCGTCAGATCTAAGACTGATTGGATACGCACCTCCACATTTTCCTATCCTGAGTTAATCTTCGCATTTCCCCAAAACTAGAACATCCCACATCCTTAACTGTTTGCAAACAGTAATCTTATCTACCTCTACTCCTCTTAACTCCTGCCTCTGCCTCTAATATGTCTCTGACTAACCCTTCATGTCTGAGAAGGTTTCCTACCAACCCATTTCGCCTATTCCTTATTGACTTCCATAGAGTCCTCTGTTCTCCTATTCTTTCTAATACCCCTTCATTTCTAACCTTTTTTATGCACAATATCCTCATCAGTCGCCTGTAACACCACATTTCGAACGCTTCTAACCTTTTCTTTTCCGCCGCGCCCACCGTCCATGTTTCGCACCCGTACAGCGCCGCGCTCCAAACGTACACATTTTTATATAACACTGTTTTATTAATATCGCAAAATATCATTACAGATTACATATATTAGAAAAATTTCTCGATATTTCAAAAAATGTTTGCCGTTCATCCCTAATTTTTTTATTTTTTTCCCACTATACCAAAAATTGTTCCCATGTACTAAAATTTTAAGAAAGAATCCATGAAAAAGAAGAATTAAGTTACTCATTTGATGTTCCCATTCGACCAAGTTCTAAATTTCATGCAGCAATCCATGGCAGATATACGTGACATTGTCACATTTGCCTATTTTATTAATTAGTCTTCGTGAATTTGTCAAAATTACCTGTTAAAAATGTTGCAATTAGGATAAAAACAAAAGTCGCCCTTTGTGAAGAACCCAAAGCGTTTTCATGCAAAGAAAGTGGTATTTACTATCTCCCAAAAATCCCCAAGCACGCCACAGTAATACCTCAAAAAGTTACAAGGAAGATCTGGATGGTAATCGCTCCTCAGCATCCAGTTTAACTTTGACGGAAGAGGAAGTAGACAACGTTGTTCTTGTTGACGAAGCGTCATATATTTCGGCATGTCGAAAAACTCCTGACGGTAAATAAAATATAAGGAATCGATTTAATATCTTTTTGACGTTGGGAGCTTTTAAACTAGGAGCTCTACTTATTAGTGTTCCGTGCCTATAAAACAGAGGATAGTGCAGGGTCGAGTGGCGTTCAAAAAGAAGTCACTTCTATGCTCGCGTACGGGTGCGAAACGTGGATAATCTCCGTGTGGAAAAGAAAAGGTTAGAAGCGTTCGAAATAAGGTGTTACTGTGGATAGTGAAGGTTAGAAATGAGGAAGTATAAGAGTAAGAAAAGAGAGGGCGCTGGAGAGGTCAATAAGAAATAGGCGAGATAAGTTGGTTGGACACCACCTCAGACTTGTACGGCTAGTTAGAGGCATATTAGAACCAGAAACAGGAGTCAAAAAGAGTAGAGGTAGACCTCACAAATAGTTAATGATATGGAATATTCTAGTTTTAGGGAAATCCAAAAATTAGCTCACAATAAGAAAGAGTGGAGACGTATGTCCAACCAGTCTTAGGTTTGACGATCTTATGATGATGATGATGATGTTGCTTAATTTCAAATCATTGTATCCAACGGAAGTCTTCCTAGGTAACCGTCTTGTAAATTGCCTAATTAGCAGAGAAAGCTACAACAAAACTTTAAAATAAAATGAAATTCACACATATTTTAACAAGCATTATTTTCGCAACAATTGTTGCGCCAAACTTGGGTTACTTCAGGCGGGTAATTTGTACCTGCACAACGGATTTGAATCACAAATAGTAAACAGCAGCTTTTGATATGTAGGGTAGTAACAAGGACATTGATGACTATGAATATCGTTTAAAGGTTATATTCCAAAAACAATGAAAGTATTTCAAAAGTCCAAATTCAAAATCAAGAGAACATATATGGTAAAGGCACATTCCAATGTTCCTTGTTTCGTGTTCAACTACTTCAGTCTTTGCTGGCGTACTCTATAATTAGATTCACTCAAGGCGCGATACCCTTCATTGAAAAATTATACGTTTTAATGAGTTATTTTAAAGTATCTATCCCTTGTTCGTACCCAGTGATCTGTCACCCTGCTTAGAAACGTAATCTCCCCTATTATCAGAACTTCTTACCGTAAAATCTGAATATTCTGAATGATCTGTGTGACATTTGTATAATTTGGTGGAGGTGTTGGTCTACAATTTGACCACTGCACTAGCCACTAAATTCCCATTTGGAATAAGTGAGAATGTGTTAAAGTATTCTTCATTGTTAGTAGATTAGTCTTCAGCTAGAACGTTCTCGAATGTTTCAAGGATTGTCTTCAGCAGACCAGAAGTCGGAAACGTTCAGAATTGCTTGGAAAGTATTAAGCGGTGGGGATGACCTCTGACACTACATTAGGGCATTTTATGTATATTCAGACCAAATTATTCAATAAATCTTTATAATCTCCTATAATGTTCAAGAATGTTCGACGTGATTGTGTTTTTCGGGTAGACAGCCGGTTACCATACACCTATCCAGAGTAAGCGGGAGTATACATACTAGAATGCTCTTGGGGTGGTCATCACATAGAATGTTCTTGAATTTCTTGTATTGACTTCAAGTGGTATATTCTAGAGTGAACTGAACCAGAAGAATGGAGAACATTCTGGAATGTTCGAGGACCATTATGTGTGAGTGGGTTCTGACGCTAAATAAGGGCTTATTCATATTTCGATCAAACTGACCCAATAGTACATTACGTATCGAGGGAAGAAACAGAGTTTTTTCAGACTGCATGTTTGCCATTCTCGCCTTCGGCTCGGGTGGCAATTCACATGCAGTCTGAGATAACCCTGTTTCTTCCTGAGGTACGTATACTATTTTTTGTCATGTTTGTGCGGAAATCTCGTCATTAAATTGATAGTTGGCAAAATAAGAGTAAATGATTTAGAGGTTAGAAAGACATTGTCATTGAACAACTGATTTCTGCGCATGCCCATAAACTTCAGCGCATGCGCTCAAAAGACTCAACCTAACCTATTTCATAGCATGCAAGACGTGCTTTCCGCGCTAACATGACAAAAAAAATGTTTGGAATCTATGATGTTCGAGATTTCTGCAGTCTGGCGTGTGTTTGAGTTTGCATGTTCACCACCAAATACCCATTTAGAATAAGTGAGAATGTAAACCCAGTGAAAGCTGGAAAACGGAGAATAAGTCAAACAATTTTTAAATTCAAGAACGTTACGATACCTTTAAGATTAGCTAACTGGAAAATATTGGTGTAACCAGATTTACACTTCGGCTTTGTTTTGGGATGTAAAGGCAATAAAAACAATATGTTGAATTCGATTTAGTGCCTCTTGGCAACGTCAATCGCGAGCAGCCATCGTACAACAAAAAAAATTCGTAATATAAAGTTTGAAAACAAATAAAATGTAATTTATGGAAACGTCTATTACAATATTGGATTGTTATTTTTTCATAATGCTTATTTATGTGCTCAAAAGGTAGACATATTACAGGACTTGCAAGGAAAACGAGTGGGTTTGAATTTCAACTTGACGTATCACAAATATGGAATCGACAAAGTATTTACGTATACTGTTTTAATATCAATCTGAAGTGGTTTAACAATGTACCTTATGAAAACTACCTGTCAAAGATACAGCTTTCATTTTTTTTTTAATTTTCCAATTTACGACTTTGAAAACAAATAAAAGGCATGACAAGCTTTTGTGTTTGCTACTTGATGTTCCCGAAAATGGTTGTCAACACCTACCATTCGGTTAGTAGGTTAATAAGCGATCATTTAATTAAAAGGAAAAACAATCGCAAACAAAATCAGGTTGAAAAATAATTAAAAGAAATACTGAAATGAGTGAGGGTGGTGAAACGGGTGACCGTCTTCACTCACCCTAATGATGGTTTCCCTGCTACTTTTTATGTTCCCCAATTAATCATTAATAAAAAACATTTGGCAGTTATAGGGACTGCCGATAGAAGTGAAAACATAGAACTTTTAGTATTAAAATTTGAAATTCCACAATGTTTGAATAAAAATTATGAACATCAATCTGGTTTTCACATCTATTGACACTCCGAGCAACAATTATATGCATGTTTATATGTTTTTTTATTATTCAAATATTTACATAAATTCCAATGTACTTGATTTTTAACATTGTTTGCATCATTGTCATCATTAATTTCAACAATTCTTAGACATTTTGTAGAGGTAGACCTAGATTAGATTACTGTTCGCAAATAGTTAAGGATGTGGGCTGTTCTAGTTTTAGGGAAATGCGAAGTTTAGCTCAGGGTAGGAAAGAGTGGAGGTACGTGTCCAGCCAGTCTTAAGACTGATGACCTTATGATGATGATGATGAGGCTTATGGTAACTAAAGTAAGAAATGAAAACGTTTGATTGAAATTTATCTAAGTATCGCGTAAAAACAGCATCGATCGTCGTAGCTGTATAGCTACAGATATACTCAGATATTACTGCTACAAGCTGCGCGTGCGCCAGTCGTGAGCATGTCGGTGACGCGAACCCATAACATTTTCCCCTGCCAAAAAAAGAAGTTTTCAAAAATATCAAGCAAAAAAACGTTACTCAATGTTTGTCCAGAGGAAACCTAAGTTTAGGATAACGCATTGCTACTGCGTTTTCATTCAACATTGACTGGAACGATATTGCACGGTGATATTAATTGAATTCGAATCAGAATCATTGTTCAATAGATCGGGCGAGTAGTAACAGGGTTTTTTGGATTTGTACCATGATGTTTTACTGATAAATATACACTGTCTGCCATTTTCATCAAATGAAAATAAAAGGAAACTAAATAAGTAGTACCAAATTTCTGTTGCTTTAATTAATCAAATCGATTGAAAAATTTGGTATCTCGTAATATCTTTATACGGTGTGTCGATAATACGCTTTTTCCAATCTTCGAAGCACTGATGTCGTCTTTACCTCCTCAATCGTCCTTTCATGGGCCATTTCAGTTTCGGGAACAAGAAAAAGTCACAGATCTAGGAAATACGGTGGCTGCGGCATTATTAGTGTCTTATTTTTCGCCAAAAATTCGCGGACAAGAAACGATGTGTGAGCAGGGGCGTTATCATGGTACAAAAGCCAATTTTTGTTCATTTACAAATTCAGACCTTTCTGACGGTTTGTTTCGCGCAAATTGCGGGTAATATTCCTTAACGACCGTTCTACCGTATGGCAAGTACTCATGATGCACCACGCCCCTGCAAAGTAAGACATGAGTACCAACATAACACCACAAAAAGATGGAAAATTGAATATACGCGTAAATTCAAAATTCCCGATACTTTTTCAACAGACCTTGTATATGTAGGTTAAGTTTACAATATGAATGATGTTAATCATGAGGCAGAGAACTTAGTTCACTGTAATAGTTTTGGCATTGACTTCAATTTTTCATCATTTCCAAGTCATCACGATATCTTCGAATTTTCTGGTGAATACAGAAGCTATTATATTATAAGAAATCAAAACGTTTTTCTCGTGATTTACATCATTTCTGCGGTTACCGCCAATACTATTAAGTATTTTCGATCGATTTGATTCATGCGGCAGAAATTTGGTATCATTAGAAACTATCTGCCGATAACTGAGCGCCGAATTAATTTGTTTATTACTTTTGGCATATAAAAATGGCAAACGGCGCAATTTTTTATACATTAAAGTACATTAATATTCACCCTCTACAGATTACCTCAAATTAATAAGGAAAAATTGTTGCTGCTTACCACTCTCGCCGGGAATCGAACCCGGAACTTTTGACTTTACACGCTAATGCTCTGACAATTTAGCTCAGTGGTTGAATATTAATTCTTATTAATATTTAAAAAATTAATACATGCACTGTATTAAGGTGACCATACGTCCCGCATTGGCCGGGACAGTCCTGGATTTTCACCTTGCATCCCGGATTTTTCTAGAAGCAATATTTGTCCCGGATTTAGGTTTTTTGTCCCGGATTGCCCGAATTTTTGAAAAGGTTCTTATTTTCAATATTTATTTTAAATATATTTCAACTAGAATTTTATGAAAATTAGCAGTTCTTTTTCTGCCTGCCTGGCACAAATGCTTCCACGGAAAGAATATTTTCTTTAATGAATAGCCTTTGGACAAGTGACAAGACTCGACTTGAAATAGACACACTAAAAGCGATATTACTTACTAAAGTTAATTATGAAGAAAATTGTACAGAATTTTATACAATGCTTCAAAGTAAAAAAGACCTACTGAAAAAGATCCATAGTTCAGAAAAATATAAAAAGTTTTGTACTCATTAAAAGAAATATTAAAAAAATCATATTTAAGTTATTTAACTTAACTACCCCTGCTACAAGTTCCCGTCCCGGATTTGAAATAAAAAAATATGGTCACCTTAATTGTATGTATACTTATAAGCACATCCCATTCTTTTAAAAATTGTTCGTACAAAATTTACATTCTAATTGCAGACGATAAAGATTCAACCACAGGGGACAGCAATACAGCGAACGGTACTGAAAGTAACAGTAACAACGTCAATGACGCGGTCAAAAGCAATTTGAAGCTTATCGATGATGTGATAAACAATGTATTGGCCTTGCAGTATGAAATAGTGTCGTTTTCGGGCAGTCAAGAGGACAAAAAGTATTTATACCTTGAAGATGCAATGGTCAAATATCTGGTACTCTTGGACAGTATAGAAAGCAACAATAACGAAGATGTTAGGTTTAAAAGGAAAGAAGCTGTTTTCCTGATACAGCAGCACATTGATTTATTGGACGCCAAAACCACTGAAAATATACGTAATAGACTAGTAGCTAATAGTAGAGATCAAGAGTTAGGAAGTCAAGGGCAAAATGCACAGTGGTCAAACTATCGAGGCGAACCCTTGCATCCGAGGCAAAGAACGACTATTCAAGACATGCTCCCCGATAATTGGAAGAACTATACGACGCCATATCCTCATAGACAAAATGTTCATAATCAAAATACAATTTTTAATCATTGGGAAGAAAGTGGTAATAGCCAATATCCACATGTTCCCATGGAAATAGACGAAGATGATACAGATTTTGAATTATAACCATTAGGAAGGAATTGACTGAAATGTGACTTTTATTAAAGAGAATTGCAAATTATGGTTAACAATTATCGCTGAAAATATTTAATCTAATAGGATAACAAGATAATAAAAAACAATTTCTCGTAATGGAATAGTTCTTATTTCGTTATTGTAAGACTCATAAATAGTGGCAATTAAAAATCACCATGTTGTTGAGTTTATTATAATTATTATAAGTCTTTTTTGGTCTTAATCGAATAAAATAATTCGAAGTGGTCTGTATTCTATCGAAACTGCCAGGCGCGGACCGCGATTTCGATCTTTTTGGATCTCATCAGCGCATCGCAGGCAGCTCCGACAGAACACAGACCAACTTTTACCTGCTGTCTTAACAGTGCGTTTAGAATGATGAGATCCAAAAAGATCGAAATCGCGTTCCGCGTCTGGCAGTTTCGGCAGAATACAGATCACTTCGAATTATTTTATTCGATTATGGTAACGTGCCTATCACGTTGAGGTTAGCTACGCCGGGATTCGTTTCAGCAGGTAGATATCCATATATTTAAATGGATCTTGTTGGAGCATACGTAATCCTAAAATGTAGCATCGTACTACAGATGGCGTTTACTGCGCCATTTGTGGTATTTTCTAAAACGCACTGTTAAGACAGCAGTTAAAAGTTGGTCTGTGTTTTGTCGGAGCTGCCTGCGACGCGCTGATGAGGTCCAATAAGATCGCAGTCGCGATCTGCGTCTGGCAGTTTCGACAGAATACAGACCACGTCGAATTATTTTATTCGATTATGGTAACGTGCCTATCACGTTGAGGTTGACTACGCCGGGATTCGTTTTCAGCAAGTAGATATCCACACAAGTGGACCTTGTTGGAGCATACGTAATCCCAAAATGTAGCATCGTGCTACAGATGGCGTTTACTGCGCCATTTGTGGTATTTTCTAAAACGCACTGTTAAGACAGCAGGTAAAAGTTGGTCTGTGTTGTGTCGGAGCTGCCTGCGACGCGCTGATGAGATCCAATAAGATCGCAGTCGCGATCTGCGTCTGGCAGTTTCGACAGAATACAGACCACGTCGAATTATTTTATTCGATTATGGTAACGTGCCTATCACGTTGAGGTTGACTACGTCGGGATTCGTTTTCAGCAAGTAGATATCCACACAAGTGGACCTTCTTGGAGCATACGTAATCCTAAAACGTAGCATCGTGCTACAGATGGCGTTTACTGAGCCATTTGTGCTATTTTCTGATTAGATATAGTTATCTCACTTTCTCTCACTTCTTGTTTCTGCTTCTAAAATGTCTAACTATCCCATAATGTCTGATGTGTTCTACGAACTCATCCCTCCTGCTTCTTAATAACACCTTGACAACGATTTCTATTGTCCTACTAGGCCGGGTGCCTCGTGTACCGGACCCAAATCGGGTAACCATCACCACAATTTTTTTACATATCTAGAACACTAATTATATTTTACCTACATTAGATAAATTGAAAATCCTGGACTACCTTGATCCGTGGCTGAGAAGCTTTTTATATTTTGACCCCGTCCGAGAGAGCTATTGATCAGAAAATGATAAAGAACATCATACTCCAATTGCAGCCAATTTGATCTTTGTCGATTTTCGATAAGGATTGTGTTCAGATTAGTTTAGCCTTGTAAGGGCTCATATCAGGCAATATTGTGCTGCTAATTATTTCTAAAGAAGAATAAAGAGGCACCATCAACACTAATTATTGTTATTGAGATTAAGAACGCATAGAAGTTTAATTTGCTTTTGAATTTTGTGCTGCACTTATATCTACTGTACACTTTAATTTACAATATGGACCATGTACATCGAACCCGTTTGTTTGAAACTATCTTAACCTACATTGGAAAACTTGTAAACTGTGTTTGAATTACGTGAACTACCTTTGCATTATGTTAGCTGTCTCAGAAACAAAAAACTACAACTTAAATTAACTTGAATATGTAAATAAAGGGGGTGGAGTGTAGGAGACCCTTCCTAAATATTATGGATGACAAGCTTCATTGGTCATTACAAATGGGGGTGGCTCTGACACAATAATCTAAGATTTCACCATCTGACCCATTTCCGAGTGAAAGTTAAAACATTTATGGGGCAATAGAATTAAACGATTTGAGTCCTCGATGGACCTGTACATCACAATACATGATCTTATGACAGCCTTCTTGTAGTCAACCCTCACGAATTTGTGTACACATTTAATTTTGAGATTTAATACGCTGCCACCCGTAACACTATTTTTACGCATAGGCACAAAAGAAACTCTTCTCGAAATCGAAACAAAAGATTTTGATTCTGAAAGAAATTATTATCAGAAAAAAAGCAGACATTAAAAAAATTGAATTTTGAGCGAAACGAATTGATGAATAGGACTTGAACAGAATGCATAGGGCTATTTATTTACAACTAGTAGAAGTAGGCCTTAAAAAGACTTATTTTACCTACTATATGCGATCAAAATAAATAACTATGTACCTACAAAGTAACAGCGCTAGGGTGAAAATTAACTAATTTATATTTATTCTACACGTATACCCGATAAGCTCCTGATGGGAATAAATCGAGGTTCGGAATGCATCAATTGCTCGTTTGCGAAATCCCTTTTGACCACAACGACCACTTGTAGCGGTTGTAAAGATGTATTTGATGATCGATTTGTTGGAAACGATTCGAATTCAAACAGAAACTGGAACGAGAATTCGAAGGACCAGGTGGCATGAACCATTCCTAAATAAAGTTTCGTAATTGAGACAGATGGGAGGTTTTGCCAGAACAAATACAATTAGGTGAGTATAACTGTAACATGTATTTCTCTTTTCTTATCTAACAATCTATGGTTTTAGAAAAATGTTGTAGGTAGGTAGGATTCTTTAAGGAATTGTAATTTTTATTTATTCATTCATCAGGTACTTTTACTAATTACTACTAATTACTAATTTTACGTAAATGATCTCAAAGTTGTATTTTATTGTTAATTGTGGATTGTGGAAGCAGTTATTTAGTGAAACTTATATGAGGTCTGCTCAAAAAGTATCGCAAATTTTGTGTTTTTACAAAAATTATTTATTTATTCTTGAATATATATTTTGTTCCCTTTCAAGGTACCATAATCCCCACCAGATATTGTGTCAACTTTTATCTGATCTTCGGAGCACTTCAATAAATCATATTTTGTGATCTTGTTCAGCACCTTCTTCGATACCGTCTTTATCTCCTCACTTGTAGCGTAGCGTCGTCCTTTCATGGACCTCTTCAGTTTCGAGAACAAAAAAAGTCACATGGGGTCAGATCTGGTGAATACGGTAGCTGTGGCGTTATTAGTGTATTGTTTTTGACCAAAAATTCGGACACAAACAACGAGGGGTGTTATCATGGTGCAAAAGCCAATTTTTGTTTTTCCACAAATCCGGCCTTCGCGAAAATTACGTATACAGGCAGGTAATATTCCTTATTGACCGTTCTACTCTGTGGCAAGAACTCGTGGTGTACCACGCCCCTGCAATCGAAGAAAACCCTAAGCAAAACTTTCACATTTGACGTAACGCGATTTTGGCTCGTGCGGCAACTTCCATTGGGATGATTGAGCTTTGATTTCCACGTCATAACCAAAAACCCATGATTCATCACCAGTTATGGCCTTTTGGAGCAAATCTGGGTCGCGGCAGACAGAGTCCAACAGCTCCTTAGAAAATGTTAATGTGATGCTGTTTTTAAATAAAAAATAATTCGTTTCAGCAAGTAGATATACATATTTTTAAATGGACCTTGTTGGAGCATACGTAATCCTAAAATGTAGCATCGTACTACAGATGGCGTTTGCCGCACCATTTGTGGTATTTTCTGATGCTGTTTTTGTTCAAATTTGAGCAATTTGGTACGAATTTCACAGCTACCGGTCTCAAGCCCAAATCATCGGTAAAAATCAAAAGGCTATATGTTTAGGTCTTCAGCAACTTCTCTAACGGCGATTGGCCAATACTATTTTCTTCACTTCATCAACGTTTCCGTCTGTTGTTGACGTGCTCAGGCGTTTGGCACGCTCTTTGTCGTTTACATCTTCTCAACCCTCTTAGAACATTTTGTACTACCGATAAACGTTGGTTCGGTCCAAGGTAGCTTCACTATATGCCACAGTCAACATTCGGCATGCGTCCGCGCACTTAATTTTGTTTTTCACACAAAATTTGGTACAAATTCTTCACAGTAGATAGTTTATTTTCATAACTCTGTCGTACAACAATCCATTTAGTTAGGTTTACATTATCATGTATTCTATACGGGTGTTTGGTGATCGATTCGAATACCCAAATTCACCCCACACCTGACTCATATCCTACATTCATCGAAACATATGAAAATGCCCTTTAGTGTCAGATCCCAGTACCACCACTCAAGCGTAATACTTCTTGAACATTTCAGAACGTTCTTGATTCGTCCCGTTAACTCTAGTTTTCTCATTTCGGATCTGCTTTGCACTGTTATAATTATAGCAGTTAAATCGTCAAGTTGTTTCACGGAGGGCTGCAGGGTTACTGTTTTTACGATTGGTAAATTATGTAGTTAACGATTTACAGCTTTTGCGACTCGAGACGACGGCTTAACTATACTAATGTTGCCAATTCACGCACAGGACCGGCTTCGTATTGTAAATTATTGTGATTCTTTTCGCTTTAACAACGATGCCCAACTCACCGTACGATTGTTTATTTACACCCTAATACAAAACTTTCCCCTTCAGAAACGCTTATCCCACCTACAACATTGTTCGTTTAAAGATATCGGTAAGGTAATATTGGGGGCAGATTTGATTTGATACCTTATGGCCCCCAGGAGGCATCAAATTTCATTCTTATCCAATAAGACGTTACGATATTTTCAGAATTAGATAACAGGAAAGATATACGTGAGACTTGATAGGAATTGATTTGTTCTTCGGTTTCCTTTAGGGATGTAAAGGTAATAAAAAAAAACGCTGGATTCGATTTAGTAAAGTCGTCTAGGAATGTCAATTGTATAGCCATTGACAACACAAAAGGTTTGTAATGTGTAGCTTTGAAATCCACTAACTGTAAGTGTAATTTATAGAATTGTATCTTAGGATAGCGGATTGCTGTTACTTTATAAATGTGTATGTGTAGACATGCTCATAAATAAGATTATGAGTATCGAAAAATACCAGTGGTTTTAAATTGGGGTTTGTTATAAAGGAGTGTACCTACATACTGCGAATTGTTGGGTTGAATAAGGATCTTATATATGATATTGACCGTTTTTATGATTGCATAATTAGAGAGAATTAGGGTAAATTAAACTGGCCTTCTTCAAGATAAGTTTTTCAAATTATATGAGATAAATTTCAGATTACCTATTGAATTATAGATGTCACCCCATGGTTTTTAATATTTAATTATTTATGGTTTTATCTATTGAAATATGTTATCCTGATTTTGTTCAGCTATTTGCTGTTTGGAAGACCTACCTTGAAAAACCTCACACCAGCTACTAAGATGATGATACGGACGAAATGAACAGAGAAGAGAGTCAAATATGATGGTTTCTCATTTAAGTTGTGCCAAGCAACGGCGGTCTAAATCTCTATGTCATGCCGCTCGGTTCATCATTCAAGTTCTGCCAAGCAACGGCGGTCTAAACCTCTAAACATGCCGCTCGGTTCCTCATTCAAGTTCTGCATTCTGTATAATATGTAGTGAATAAAGAGGAAAAATGCAAAATATGTTAGGCAAGAATCCCCCTAAAAGTTATCAGACAACTAAAACTCATTATAAGATACTTTCAATTGAAATTGTGGTAGGAAAATAAGACACAAAGAAGAATAACGATTAAAAAACACTTTGTTAACTTTTACGTAAGAAGAACAAGCTTCATTTTAAATTTTTTCAATAGATATCATTAATTATGTATCACTCGGTGTATTATTATATATATATCGTCGTCCTTTCATGGACCTCTTCAGTTTCGGGAACAAGAAAAGTCACAGGGGGCCAGATCTGGGGAATACGGTGGCTGCGGCATTATCAGTGTGTTGTTTTTGGCCAAAAATTCGCGCACAAGCAACGAAATGTGAGCAGGGGTCATTATCATGCTAAAAGCAAATTTTTGTTCTTCCACAAATCCGGGCGTTTCTGGCGGATTGCTTCGCGCAAATTGCGCATAACTTGTAGGTAATAGTCCTTATTCTCTCAAAAACTCATGATGCACCACGCCTCTGCAATCGAAGAAAACCGTAAACAAAACCTTTACATTCGACCCAACTTGGGGCGCTTTTTTCTATTTTGNATCTCCGTAAGTCACCTTAACTTATAGTATTGTAAGTATAATCTATTTGTTATAATTCTTATAATATTTAATGTTTGTATATCAGTTACATACATGTGATACATACATCAATTATTAAAATGTGAGGATCTGATTTTGGCACCGATGAATCCTATTCTAAAATTTCTGGAAAGTTCCTTTCGTAGTGCTAATTCGCTGTATGATTTATGACAGCCGTGTGACGGCTTCCGGGCGTGCCGCACATATCGATCGCCTGCGGTGTTCTTTCATACCAGTATTTTTGAATTTTTTGCAATTTTTTTAATTACAGTACTCTACATACTGAAAAAAAAATAAATAAAAATCCAGATAGTTTCTGTAGTTTTGTACCCATTTACCGATTTTGAGCTAACTGCTCAACAATTATTATCTTCTTAATATCGAAAATGCATTATTATTATTAACATGCAATTAAAGATTACCTATCAGAGTCTACTCTAGATAATTTGTTTGGGGAAACATAAAAAGTTTCATGAAGCATTTTTGCTGCAGTGTTTGTTCTAATATTAACTGAAAAGTATGACGAAAACTTAAAAAAACCAAAACGAGTAACTCACCCCAAATTATCAATAACATTTTTCAATATCGAAACGTTTTCAAAGGTTATTATTAATACAGGAACGTATTGGCTATTGAAATATAAAGTTAATTAAAAAGGAAAGGAAATGGATGAAACTAATATTCATTTGTTAGTTAGCTTGGTGCCTGTTAATTAATTAATTAATTTTGTATGTTTATATTACATTTCATACAGTGTATATATGTAAGTAAATTAAAGGATATTAAATTTCAGTAACGCAAATGAAGGTTTATTAATATATGTTGTACCTACACCAGGGACTCTAGGGAAACCACTTTTAAAATATTTTAGTAATTTAGCATACCTATTTTGTAAAATTACTGAAATAGTTTCCGTCTTCGGCGGATACTAATATAAATTCCTGAAATTATGTGCTACGAAAATAATTTGTAACAAAATGCGATAAAGCTAATGTTTTATACGAAGCTTCAACCATTTTTACCTTAGAAAATGTATTTGTTACCTTAAAAAGAAAAATAATTTTTCTAATGGTTTTTTTATCAACGAAGGAACAGAAATACACGGGAGGTAAAAAAAATTCACAGACCTCACCTCATCGGCACTTATTTTATTAGGCGTAATGAAATTGCCAGATTTATCTCCTAGAACTCTACAAGTTATCTAAAAGAGTGACCTTTTGATGTTTCAATTTGATTCTAAGGTCGTCAGTCCTAAGACTGGTTGGACACGTACCATTCCTTCTTATTTTGAAATAATCTTCGTATTTCCCTAAAACTAGAACATCCCACATCCAGTAATCTAACCCAGGTCTACCTCTGCTCCACTTAACTCCTGTTTCTGTCTCTAATATGTCTCTGACTAGACCTTCATGCCTACCTACCTATATTGGCTATTTTTTATTGACTTCCATAAAGTCCTTTGTTCTCCTACTCTTTCATCCTTATAATTCGCTGGTAACACCAAATTTCGAACGCTCCTAACCTTTTATTTTCCGTCGCGCCCACTGTCCATGTTGGGCTCCCATTCAGCGGCGCGCTCTAAGCATACACCTTTTCCAAATTTATGAAGTAATCGTTCGTGAGCATAGAAGAAACTTCTTTTTATTGAAGGCGGCTCGATCCTGCGCTATCCTTCGCTTTATATCCCTACTACTCATTCCGTGCTAACTTATCTAACTTCCTAGATACCTAAAATCAGCCACTTCTTCTAATCTTTCATCTCCTGTTTTTACATTCGCTCTTTTCCTACTCATACAATACTCTTTTGTCTTACCGCTTCTATTTTATTTAAATCTATCTGTAACTCCTGCTTGCGAGTTGCTAATACTGCTATATCATCTGAAAATCTAAGCATACTAATCTTTTGTCCCTATATATCTATCCATACAGTTGTTCTGTTCGTTTCAAGAAGTTGGAGATATGCCCCTTCCCTTTATTAGGATGCGCTGTAGCATAATTTCAAATTTAATCATATTTGTCTGCGTAGCTCATTCCTTCACCGATTATCGAGCGAGAGCTAGACAAAAGTGTACAGTACCATTTGCAAAATTATTTAAACTGCCTCGTTAAATTTTAAGAATATGCTTTATTTAAAAGCATATTTAGCCAAAAATAATAACAAGTGAATTAACTTAACGCTCTACACACCTATAAAACTTTTGCTTTATTTTCTACTGTTAATTTATATACATTTTTATTTAAGAAATTGCTAAATATTTTCGTCTAGTACTGTACAGTTCCCACCGAGAGTTCTGCTCGTTCAAGCTTGTTCCAACTATTTCTGTCTTGCTCACGCCTACTGTGTATTCTTTCTATCTTCGCGCAGATTATTCAAGGTCACAATTCAAACAAATTGAAATGGGGTGTACTGCTTTTAATGATGTTGATCGCGTCTTCGATGTATACATTAAGAAATAGCGGTGAAAGTGTGCATCCCTGTCTGACTCTCTTCCTAATATTTACTTCTCTACGTTGCAACTTCAGCTCTAAAACTGCCTGTTGTTCTTTATACAAACTTAGTATCACTCTTCTATCTCTATAACTCAGCCCTACATTTTTTTTGTATATTTAGCATCTTGTAAATCAATATTAAACAAATATCCGGATAAAATTATGCAGAAACGTACGTATTTATAAGTATGATGATGTGAAACTGTCAGAGCAAAATTATTTCAAACAGTTTTTCACTAAGGAGAATTTTCTGGCGAACTTTCCTTTTCTTTCAAATGATCATTCTAACGGCAAGGGATCGCGAGTTTTAAACAAAAGACTTTCGGGGTCTTCAACTAAGCTACAGTTCAAAATGTTAGAGGGACAAACTCCAACTCGGGACGAGCGACATCTGCCACCCTCTACATATTTACATCATTAGTCGTAAAGGGTGCTCAGGCAGTGAACATTTTACTTTAACAATAATAAATTAAGAAATGCAAATCCCTTTTAATAGAAACAGTAACTACGTTTTAATGAATAGCGTTTGCATTTACATACCTCATGACATAACAATGTTAACATAGCTACATATGAATGTTGTTCAACATCATCCGTGTAGATCCCATCTAGTAACGAAAATGTATTCTTGATTATACAATTATGATTTGTCGCACGACCTGACAGTTCCATAACGAGCGTCATTGTAACGGACGTGTAATTATTTTGTTACGATCTGACTGCAAAAAGCAATGCACGAATAGTTATTTGAATTGTGACATACTAGCACTGCATCGAATAACCTACTATTTGCTTCTTCTCCTGGCAGTTTCTAAACTGGAAATTCGCAATTATTAAATTACCTACAATTTACTACAGTGAATATCGTGGAATACCGTGAATGGAGAAAGTTAGAGATGAGGAAGTAATAGAAATAGTAGGAGAATAGAGGTTCGGTATGGAAGTCAATAAGAAAAAATCGAGATAAGTTAGTATAACACTTCTCAGATATAAAGAGCCAGTTAAAGGCATATTAGATATAGAAACAGGAGTTAAGAGGAGTAGAGGTAGACCTAGATTAGAATTACTGTTCACAAATAGTTAAGGGAGATGCGATGATGATTATAATGATGAATTCACTTGAGAAATTTAGTCTTAGAAAAATATATATCTATATATATAAAAGATAGTCGTGTTAGTTACACTATTTATAACTCAAGAACGGCTAAACCGATTTGGCTGAAAATTGGTGGGGTGGTAGCTTATAACTAGGAGACGGACATAGGATACCTGTTCCCGTTGGGGGGAGGAGTGGTGAAGAGGCGTTGCAATGTTTAAATTGAACATATACTATTAGTCGTCAGATTTACTTGAAACTTGGTCTTAATGGTCTCTCAAATTTTAAAAAATTTTACTTCCAAAGGAGGGGGGTTAAAAGGTGTTGCAAGTTTTGTTTGGAACATACTTCATTTGTGGTTGAATTTGCTTGAAATTTGGTATATATGTTGTTTGATATTATTAATCAAATGAAAAGAGGTTGCAACGTTTCCATGCGGTATATTTTATTTGTACTCGGATTTATTCGAAGGTTACTCATTGTTGAAATTAAGCAAATACGTGTTTTCGCAATTTTTAAAAATCAATCCTTAAAGATGAAATGTTGTTGCTACGTTTGTTTTGAAATCTAAGATAGCGAATTACATAAAATTAAAACGTTGTAAGGGTGAATTGGGAGTTAAAAGGTTTTATTGAGAAACAATATTATTAATTTCTGGGAGTAAAGCCTTAGGGAAAAGCTTGCATTGTATACAATAGAATTAAATTTCAACAAACACGTTTTGTCATAGCACCACAACGTAAGGGATGTAAAAATTGTGCACAAAAAGTACCCTAGTTAACGAGCCGTCAATAATTGGGAACAGCGACGAAACACACATACCTATTTGTGACCTTCGCAAGCAGCTGATCCGTAGACAAGTTAATTATACGCAATGGTTAGTAATAATTTGCACTCGTTAGCGTTGCATTGGTAAAGTATCGGACATAAGGCTCACGCGTACATGCGCCCATATAAGCATCATGCATTGCGCGAAAATAATTTTTGCAGATGAGTATTTGTGGAGTGTTGTGTATTAATGGTCGTGAGTGGTGTCGAGAAGAATAAAATTAATGGAAAAAATCATGACCCATATAGAAACATCTCAAGTAAGATCATTGCTCCTCCTGATTCATTTCCCCGGTTTTGTGAACAGCTTTTTTTACTAGTTCTTAGATAAAAAAGTGACACAACTGATCGAATTTCAATGACAGGGGGCAGTAGCAAATTAATATTAATTAAATTCATTTTAATGCTTTTGATACCATAGACCACGTCCAATAAAACGCGACAGGAACCATGCCAAATAGCTTTAATTTAATTTTGTAAATAAAACACTACAATAAGTTCCTGTTTCCTGTTGTCTGAAACACATCATAGATAGTTCTGAATAAATACCAAAAAATTACAGTTACTCCTAGTAAGATGAACAAATAACAAAATATAGTGCAATAAACGCCATCTACGGAGCTTGCCGCTAATTGTGGGTTTATTAAGTTTAACAATAAATTGTTCGTATATACGAACACTAACTATCTTTATATTAGGTATTATGTCATTCATTGTAAATAAGGTGTAAATTGGTTTTCTTTAGTACAAGAATGAGTCAGGCAATCTTAATCTTTATTTACAGTTAGTTAATCTTATCATTTTAACGATGAATCAATTGATTTCAGATCCAGCTAGATTTTCGAGTAAACAATGGCATTCGAGGTAAACAGTTCATTTCTGAACAGTTTAATTTTTATTCGGTCATACTTCGAAAGAGTTGTTAAAAAATTAATTCAACGGAGTTTTCCTGTTACCCAAGAAAACCACATTAACTTCATCCGGACGAACATTAAAAAAGTAATTCTCCATTTAGAAATTGCTATTAGCAACTTAAACCAATTTCTTAGTCACCGTGGTGTTATTGGGTGTGAAACCGACCTTAAACCAACAACGCTACTTAACAAATCTGATTTCCTGGAAGTGTTGGGTTTAGAAATGGTGAACAATAATGAAACTTGCAGCATTCCGAAAGCTCCAGAAAGTTTTAGTGGTAGTAATAGTACGAGCGACGAAGTGAAGAGTGTTTGGGATCCAAGTTTGTCGGACATGAATAAGAAGGTCGATTTGGTTGGCGAGAAGCCAACATTGCGACCGAAACCTGCGTGCGTCAGATCTAAATCTTGTTTGTCAGTTGACAAAGGTAAAGCATCGGAGTCCACACTTTACAAAATCCACGAAGGATTTCCGAAAACTGTCGCTTCCACTTCCACTTGCATTACGACAACTGTTAACAACAATGCCGAGTGCGAAGGTTGGATTAAGAAAAGAAGCGGAAATTGTGTACATCGTGAAAATGTATCCCTAGGTTGGTAAATAAACGTACTTTACTTGACGATTTATGTACAATTGCAGGAAAGAAACATTTAAGGCTGACTTACAGTATTCAAGTAGATAGTAGTTAGAGAAAAACACACTTACGGAAAATGGGGAAGTGTTTTAATTATTTTTTTATATAAATAAAAGGAATTTGTAGGTTTAGGTTAGGTTGGGCTAGGTATAGGTTAGGTTAGGTTAGGTTAGGTTAGGTCATTGGTTAGGTTATGTTAAGCTGGGTATAGGCTACGTTAGGATATAGTTGCGTTAGATTACGAAACCGAGCGGCATGGCCTAGAGGTCTAGACCATTGCTTAGCATTCGGGAGGACGCCGGTTCGATTCCGGGCCGTCTGCCTTGGTCCAAGTTTTTCTGTGGCTTCCTTGGGTCACTTAGGCAAATGCTGGGGCAGTAATATTCCACAGATAATCTTTCATTCTCTTCTGTCTTCATTTCGTCCGTCTCGTCTTTCTCACCCCAAACCACCACCCACCTATTCCCACCATTCCTGAAAGTAGGCTGAAGAGGGCCTTCCGCCCTACCTTCCGGCATAGTCCGGAGGGACTGCCCGCCCACCAGCATTACTGGCTGGTGGGAATGAAACACCCAAAAGTTTTATTTTTTTTTTTTAGATTACGATGGTGCAATAAAAAAATCAGGTAACTTACCCAAGCCTAACCTAACCTTGTCTAACAAAAAGGGTACCTACTTTCAATTCACCATTTCGGTCATTTCTAAAAACAAAAGATGAGAAGACCACCCTGAACAACGTCAGATCAAAAACTGCTTTTTATTTACAATCTCCCAACGTCTCGCCCTCAGATAGTGGCTTCCTCAAGGGTAATTCTACGGCTGGCTAAGACAGACAAACATTGTTTTAATCTTCTTCTGACAGAGGTATAGAAATAGTCTCTAGATTGGATATTGTATTGTCTGACATAAATAAATGCAGTTATAGTTATTAATGGACGAAGATTGAGAAAGTTGTTCGTAATGGGTCTGTCTTAACGAACCAAACAAATACCCTACAGGAAGGCCTGTCTGAGGGTGAATCGTTGGAAGATTGTAAATGAAATATAGCTTTTGACTTGAAATTAGTTCTTGTTTTTATCAAAAATTGTCAGGAATAGTAGAGAATAAGAAAAATAGCTTACTCGATATAAAAATTTACAATAAACTTTTGGATTTGTTTAGATTGCAATGTCAACATCATCGTAATTTTGGAACAGTTTGAGTTATTGTGATGAAACTAAAACTATGTCAGTCCCGGTGTTCCTACTTATAAGTCACGTAATACAATTTATGATACACTTTTGTAGTTTTCAAGTTGTTTCTTCGTAGAGACCGACAGATACTCAGTTTGGTTAGAGTTCCGAAATAAATGAATTTTTTTTAATCTTACTTACACTATCTAATGGGAAATTAACCGGTGAATAATAAAGTTTAGTACAATTTTGCGGTTATTAAATTACACAAAAATTTCTACCACTAGAATCTCTGTGCTATCCCTACATGTTGTTCAGTTGGTTTCTTCCGACCAATTCTTACTAAGACATTAATTGTGCAGCGTCAAAAACCAACGTAAATAAACCAGCCTATAGCCACAAAACCTCTTTCTTTTTGAATTCTTTTTTTATTTTTTGAGGTACTTCTATTTCGTCTGATTCTGATATTATAATAAATTTTGTTGTACTTAGTTACTCTTTTCTAAATCCTAAGAAGAAATCGACATTATCGATTATGCTTGCAGCCGAGTTTTCAATTTCATCTCAGTCTCATTTTTTTTATAGGATCTACAAGGAATTCAATAAGGAGTTATTCTTTAAAATATTTGAATGACTGGGAAGATTTATGGGAAGAAAACGAAAATCCATTCGAAACAATTAAAAAGAGATACAAAGAGAAAGAAAAAGATGATGTTTTACCAGTATATACAGTTTCTGGAAGAATACGTCAATTTGAACGAAAACACAAGAGGATATCTTCAACGGTCGAAGGATTCTTAGATATCTTTGACAAGGACCAAAACAGGAGAAGAAGCAAACTAAAAGGCAAGAAAACCAATTTTTCGTCATCTTTAAGTTCAATTCGTAATACGAAAGAAGAGGAAGATGAAAACGACGACGTGTCTAGCCTGGCTTCACAAATGGAAAATAATTGCGATGACAGTAATGGTAGAGACTACACCAGTGACAGTGAGAAAGAAACCATAACACAGGCAAAAAACTCATCAATATTACCGATAAAAGCTAAAAGTTTAGGAAACCTTACGAAGAAAAATAACAACTTTAGAATAATGTACGATTTCTCAAATGGAAATGTTTCCAGAAGTAAATCAGACCGTTTACCAAGGATAGTTGATGTTATTGTAAGTGTTTACATTTAGCTTAAGTACTAGGCGGAGATAAGCATTTAAATATTAAAGGTTACTTAATTTAAATTTACATGATGGAAATTCATAAATATATAGCTACGATTTCTTCTCTTTTTTAGAATTTTGGTTACGGAATCAGATTTTGGCTCTGACTCCTTAACTGATATTCATCACTAAAATACATATGAGTCATAAGAGCGTCAGTAATTATAAATAAGCGCCGTAACAATCAGCTTTACTTCCCATTCGTCAAAAATTTTAACTAGAATTGTACAGAGGAGGATGGTAAAAAGGGGGAAGAATTATTAGGGGAAGATCAATTTGGGGTTAGAAAAAATAGAGGAACGCGGGAGGCCATTCTAGCTTTACGGGCAATAATAGAGAAAACGATAGAAAAAAGAAATAAGGCGTACATAGGATTTGTAGATTTAGAAAAAGCTTTTGACAATGTTAAATGGGACAAGATGTTAAATATACTTAAAAATGTAGGGATGAGTTACAAAGATAGAAGAGTGATACTTAGTTTGTGTAAAGAGCAACAGGCAGTTATAGAGCTGGAGAGGTAACGAAGTAAATATTAGGAATCTATTTAATTAATCTATACATCGAAGACGCGATCAACATCATTAAAGACAGTACAACTGTAGGGATAGATATACAGGGGCAAAAGATTAGCATGCTTAGATTTGCAGAAGATATAGCAGTATTAGCATTTAGCGATGAAGAGAGATAACTTTAAATAAAATGGAGGCGATATTGACAATACAGTATTGTATGAAAATAAAAGTAAAACAAAAATACTGGTTGCAAGGAAAGAAAAATTAGGGCAAGAGCGAATATAAAGATAGGAGACGAAAAATTAGAAGAAGTGATCGATTTTAGGTATCTAGAAAGTCAGATATGTCAGGACGGAAGGAGTAGTTGGAATATAAAGCAGAGGATAGCGCAGGGTCGAACTGCCTTCAATAACAAGGAGTCACTTCTATGCTCGCGAACGGTTAATTTAGAGATTCGGAAAAGGTGAATAAGAAATAGGAGAGATGGGTTAGTAGGACACCTTCTCAGGCATGAAGGTTTAGCCATAGACATATTAGAGGCAGAAACAGGAGTTAGGAGGGGTAGAGGTAGATTAGAAGATTAGCTCAGGATAGGAAAGAGTGGTGATGCGTATCCAACCAGTCTTAGGACTGACGACCTTATGATGATAATGATGCCGTGACATATAGTACGTACAGAAAAAATATTATGGATTATGAAATATACTGGGTTGCCTAACATTTAGTTGTCTAATCGTAAACTTACTACAATTAATAGTAATGCGATTTAACGTAGATTTTTTATTATTTGTTTACAGAACCTCTATATCAGTTTATATTTTTGTTTTTCAGTATAAAAAGAAACCGGTGTAGTTCCGTGAATAAAATCGAAATCTGAAGCTTCCGCCATGTTGACACCCCTTATATGGAATTTGAAAAAGTGGATTATACCATCTGAAAGGTCTGTCAGAAGAGGTCAATTAATCCCATTTAATGGTAAATGATAGATCATTTATTATCAATTTTTTGAGACGACCAGGACAACGTGGACAACAGTCTTGCGCCTTTCTCCATACGATACACGAAATGTAAATTACAACAAAATAATAATTTGTAGTTCAAAAAATGAAAAATGGCCTCGTCAAACACATAAAATCTAGTTGTTAGCACTAAATGTGGTTCGAAATTCTCTTTTCTTATCAAATATTTTCATTTACGTAGGTATTTAACTGCACTCTGAGCTCCCAGAAAGGTTGTATCAAATCGAACCAATATTGAATTAGAGCTAAAGGATTTTATTTTTCAAGAAAAACTTGTTTTTTTTTGTTCCACAAATCAAAATTGTATCACTTTTACTTAAATTCCTTTTCTGCTAAATAAACAACTCTTTGTTATTTTAATTTCTATTACATTCAAATGAAAACCAAATTGATTGTCGGTATTAACTATGTACCTATCTTTAATTACGAGGAATCGAACACTAATTCGATATTAAGCGGCATCTAATTAAAATGTCGCTAACTCTAAAAGGTTAGAAGTGAAGAGGTATTAGAAAGAATAGGAAAACAGAGGACTCTATGGAAGTCAATAAGAAATAGGCGAGATAGGTGGTAGGATACCTTCTCAGGCATGAAGGTCTAGTCAGAGACATAGAGAAGTTAAGAGGAGTAGAGGTAGACTTAGATTAGATTACTGTGCACAAATAGTTAAGAATGTGGTATGTTGTAGTTTTAGGGAAATGCGAAGATTAACTCAGCACAGGTAAGACTGGAGGTGTGTGTCCAACCAGACCGAGCGGCATGGCCTAGAGGTTTAGACCATTGCTTAGCATTCGGGAGGACGCCGGTTCTATTCCGGGTCCGTCTGCCTTGAGCCAAGTTTTTCTATTCTTTCCTTGGATCACTTAGGCAAATGCTGGGGCAGTAATATTCCACAGATAATATTTCATTCTCTTCTGGTTTCATTTCGTTCGTCTCATCGTTCTCACCCGAACCACCACCAACCCATTATCACAAGGTCTTCTGCCCTACCTCCCGGCGTAGTCTGGAGAGACTGTCCTCCCACCAGCATTAGAGACGGGTGGGAATGAAACACCCAAAAAGTTAAAGTTGTCCAACCAGTCTTAGAACTGACGACCTAATGATGATGATAGTGTGTATAAAGGTACAAATGTCCATAGGTGACGATATACCACCTCTTTATTGATATTTAATCATCTTGTTTATATAGGGCATCCTTGGTGAGTGGTTTAGCCTGTTGATGCGAACTAACAGGTTTGAAATTGTGAGCCATAAGTAGTGATTTTGATAAATTTCTAACGGAGAAACCTTTTAAGTATATTAAATATGAGCCAAATATGAAACTTCCAATTTTGCTTAATTTTCTGTTAACCTAATATAAAAGATTTAATTTGATGAGTTTATTATTTTATTTTACCGTTACAATTCTTTTATTTGTTATTAGTAAATGTTTCTGATTCATTTCTTTGTCATCTCCTCTTCTAATTAAGATTTGCTACGTCTGTGGAGAGTGAATAATACTTTTTTTGAAAGAAAATTTCGTGGTATTAAACGTACTTTGTAAATTATCAATGCTTCTCTGTTATAAGGCCATTAATTCATTTTAATTGGATGCTATATCGCGTAATGACACATATATTAAACGGTTTATCTCCTAAACTCATTATTTGAGACAATAAATATTAAACAACCTCCTAAATCTTTTGCTTTAACGAATCCAATTCTGTCGGTGTGTGCGTGATAACTGTCGTATTTGTTACCAAAGTGCCCCGTACAAAATTAAAACGTGCAAAGCCAATCACTTGAGGGAATTGATTCATTCTTGACGTGGAATCCTTAAAAAATCCACAATGGCTTTCAGATATAAGTAAAGCAGTTCCGGTTGAATAGTTCAACTAAATGTAGGACAATATCATGTCACGTTACTTACTGTTACGTACTTATCTACTTTTCACATTTAGTTAAACGAAGAAGTAAATTGTATCCTTAGTTAATTAATATGAAATAATAGAGTGACAGGGTTATAGTGAGAGAACGATAAAAAATTTGATGCAAGTGGATCAAGTGAGAAACTAATAAAGCATTTTATGGATATTGTCTTTTATGTAGGATTAGGTAAGCATTACCTTAAATACCAATAATTTTTTAATATCTTTATAAAGGATGCTCAGAAAACACTTAGCAGTGAATGGGCTTAGTAAGAAATTTTACAAAACTGAAAAAATCAAAACGTATCTGACAAGTTTTTATTTATTTATTTAGCATTTTGCTAATACATAAAAAAATACATTGTATTCTTAACAATTAATTTTTAAGTATTCAAAAATCCCCCTTTTGAAACTCCTTAAACTCCTAGCTCCCTTTAGTGACTCAGGGAAAGCGTTAAAAAGTGAACCCCTTCAAAGAACAAAGTTTTCTGAAGTGATGTAGTTTTAACAGATGGTAAATCGTAATATGATCTAAATCTGGTATTGTGTAAGTGAATTTCCGACCGCTTTCTAATAAAGTTATTTAAATATTGTGGCATTTAACCTGTCTGAATTCTGTAAATTAAAATTAAATTAGCCCTCTTAACGCTTTGTTCAACAGTCAGCCAGTTTAACATATTGAACATTAATTTTATCGGTGTATATCTATTGCATCCCAATATAATACGCATAACTTTATTTTGCTGTACTTGTAATCTATGTATACAATCTTTTGTACACGAAATCAATAAGGATGAACAATAATTAAAATGGGGCATTATTATAGTATTGTACACAATTGTTTTTGTCCACTGCGATAGATATTTCGAAATTCTACAAAAGAAGTCTATTTTTTTAGCCAACTTTTTACATAAATAATCAATATGCTTCGAAAAATTTACTTGCGGATCTAATACAACTCCCAAGTATTTAATTTCGGACACGTAGTTGATTTCTACATTGTTCATTTTTATTATCAAACCTAAGTCTGAATACTTCCTACAATTTACTCTATTACCAAACACCATACATTTTGTTTTCTTTAAATTTAATTTTAGTTTATTCTGACATAACCAATTATTCAGTATTTCAAGCTCCTTATTTAATATATTATATATTTCCACAAAATTGTTTCCGGACACACAAATGACAGTATCATCTGCAAATAGATTTACAACTGAGTCTTGTAAAACTTCTTGCATTTCATTAACATATATAAGAAATAGAAGAGGACCCAATACACTGCCCTGCGGAACAGGAGTTTCCGAAGTTTCGCGATTATTATCGTAGGGTTGTTGTCAGTCCAAAGTATAGTGAGACACGCACCACCACTCCTGATTCAATATTTGCATTTTCGTAAAATTTGAACATTCCAAGACGCTAACTATTTTATTTTTTTAATTAACACTTACGTCTCTAACGAACTAATGACTTCCACAGTGTTTTTATTTTTTTATTCTTTCTAACACCCACTCCTTAATATCCTGATTCACACCTTGCATTTCCCTAAAACTAGAACAGTTAATCCCTTCGTGCCTCAGAAGGTGTCCAACCATCTTACTCCTACATTAGTTGTAATGACTCCTATAGCTCCCTTTATTCCTTTACTCTTATTAACATCTTCTTATTTGTAACCTTTTATACCTTATGATACCGTATATTACTTACTTCTAATCTTTTCTTCTCATCGTAACCACCGTTCGCACCCGTATAGAGACGTGAATTAAATTAAAATCATCCGGCAGCGCAAAAGTGATTTCTATTTGTTGAAAGGAACTTAACCTTACGCTATTATTTGTTCTTCATTTTCCATCCTGTGTTATATGACTTGTTAGATATCAAAAATTGGTAACTTGTTCCAGTTTTCGTTTATAGTTTTTATATTGTAGTTCTAACGGTACTTTCATCTTAGTTACATATCAATATTTTTGTTTTACGTTTATTTATTTTTACTTCATCATCCTCAAAATTGCGACTATTATCGAAAAATTCCTATTTTTCTAATTATAAAAAAACATAAAACACCAAAAGGTTTCCAATTACTGAGTAGTTAAATTTATGTGTTATTAGGTACTACCTAGCTTAAAGTTTTGAACAATCTGGTAAGGTAACCGTTATATTATGAATGTGACCTTTAACTTACTTGCTCACTTACTCACACATGTTGAGAAGAAAAATAACATCAATACATGCTAATTGACGAGATAATTAGGTTCCCAAATAGAATGATTATAATGCAGAAATTCTCAGTTTATTTTGAAATCTATTTTTTGCGATTATTCTAAATATAATATTAATGAAATATATGCATATGAAGAATTTATTATGTTTATCGCAATTCTGTTTTATTTTAGTTTGTACGTATGTATTTTCCAACTGATATCGCAATTTTATTAATATCATTGTCTATATAAGCTTCTTATAATTGTCACTAGAAAATTTATGCGTGATGTCACATTTCAATATAAATTAACGTAACGTAACAGTGGCGAGTTGAGAACCGAGCGTAGAAATATTCTATTAGATGCAATCATGAAAAATATGACGTAGAATATGAAAATTCGAGAAAATGTTTTCAGTCATCTTTTCATATAAATAATAAAGTAATATCAGTCCAATAAATGCAATGTAAGGTTGTTAGTTTAGAGCAGTTTTTAGAGAAGCAGGGGATATTTTCAGATAGACGAAACCGATCAACAAATTATGCATTTTTGTTAGTAAGATACAAATTAATGTCGTGATACGAGGGTGGATTGATAAGTTTCCGGCCTGACCAAGAAAAACAAGGTTTTTAAAAATTTTTTTTTTTTATTTCTCAACATAATCTCCTCCAAGGCTGATACATTTCTCATAGCGGTGTTCCAGTCTATTAATGCCATCTCTATAGACTGATTCGTCAAGCTCCTCAAAATAACCATTTACAGCTTCGATTACTTCTTCATTGTCCGCAAATCTCTTACCGCCAAGCCATTTTTTGAGATTAGGGAACAGAAAATAGTCACTCGGGGCTAGGTCTGGAGAGTAAGGAGGGTGCGGCATCAATTCAAACTTTAGATCGTTGATTTTAGCCGTCGCAACGATTGACGTGTGCGCTGGTGCGTTATCGTGATGAAACAAGATTTTTTTCTTCGCCAGATGAGGTCGTTTAATTTTCACCTCGTGGCTCAAACGTTGCAATAAGTCTGCGTAGTATTGACCAGTGATAGTATTACCCTTTGCAAGGTAATCAATGTATATAATACCTCTTGCATCCCAAAAAACAGTAGCCATAACCTTGTTCGCCGAAAAAATTGTTTTTGCCTTCTTTGGAGTTGGTTCCCCTGGTCCAATCCACTGTTTAGACTGTTCTTTGGTTTCAGGAGTGTAGTGGTGGACCCACGTTTCGTCAACGGTTACGAATCGACGCAAAAATTCGCTTGGATTACGCTTATACAATGACAAATTTGCGGTAGAAATGTTTTTTCGAATCAATTTTTGGTCGACTGTTAGCAAACGCGGCACCCATCTTGCACAGAGCTTTTCCATATGCAAATGTTGGTGCAAAATATGTTGCACACGTTCATATGACATCTTACAGGTCTCAGCTATCTCACGCACTTTCAATCTGCGGTCTCCCAGCACTATTTGATGAATTTTTTCGATCATATCTGGAGTTGTGACCTCAACGGGGCGTCCTGAGCGAGGCCCATCAGAGGTGCTCACACGACCCTTTTTAAACTCGGAAACCCACTGCTTAACGGTTGAATATGACGGGGAGGATGTCCCCAGTGTTGAGTCCATCTCTTTTTTAATTTCCTTCGGCGTTAACCCCTTCAAATAAAAGTATTTGATGACAGCACGATTTTCCTGCTTTTCCATTTTTACGAAAACCACAGAGGCGTCTTGTTCAGCGTGCTGTCAAACCTACACTAGCAAGGAGATCGGGCTGAAACTATAGCTACAAGCTATCCAAGGATGGTACTATAGAATGTCACCTCAAGGTAGGCCTAGTGGCGTCATCTCTTGGTTAGGCCGGAAACTTATCAATCCACCCTCGTATATTATAATTCGCGTTTTTAACTTCTGTCGACATTCAATAATAATTTGTTTTTCATCCCTAGACAAAAATTTTCAGTCTCTCTCTAGTCTCTCAGAATCTTTCAGCGTCTCTGAGAGCGTCTCTCACAGTCTTTCACAGTCTCTCAGTTATTGCCTAGGTGTTTTTATGGATCTTTCACAGTCTCTGTATGAGAGACTCGAACGATAAAATTGTTGATTCAGAGATTCGAGTTTCTCACAGAGATACTGAATGTATAAAAGTGAAAAATTGAGAGACTCTAGTCTCTCGTAGAAAGACTGAGATCTCTGAAACATGTTGAACTTAGAAAATTTTAACGATGTCTATCGAGACACCACTTATTGAGAGATTCGAGTTTCTCGTTCAGAGATTCGAGTCTCTCGTTCAGAGATTCAAGTCTCTCGTTCAGAGACGATACGAAATGAGGATCGCTCTATGAGCAACTCGAGTATCTCGTTTAGAGACGCTAAACAGTTATTTTGACAGTCTCTCGACAGTCTCTCTCAGCGATACCACAGAAACTCTGAGAGACTGAACATTTTTATCTCAGGATAACATCAAATGAAACAAGATTATGTCGAAAGCGTATACTACGGGATTCCATAATCGTTCACCAATTTTGACCCTTCAATCACTCAAAAATTAATAAATAAAAATTCTTAAAATAATCTCAAATAATTAAGTATCGAAATTTATCTATCAAGATTTCTTACTAACTTTTGAACAGCCAGGAAAGGCATTCAAAGACATATTGAAAGAAAATTAAATTATTTGAAGATATTTTGGACCGATTCAGAAATAAGATGGGGGTGAGGGGAGGTGGCGTATCTGTAACGACTTTAAAACTAAATACCTCTCAACAGCAGGGTTAAAATTCAAAGGCTTTTTTTTGGATTTTAGGAGATTATATAACGATATCCTTATGAATAATAGTACCAAAACCTACCCTTACGATAGTGAATTAAAGAAAACCGTACTCGGGGTATACAATTTATTTCGATGTTAATATCTTATTAATCAATTTCTATTGCGTAAGATATTAACATCGAAATAAATTATAAACCCAGAGTACCACTTACGTTTTTCTTGAA